AGCACTGTGTCCAGTTCGGGGCTCCCCGGGTCAAAAAGGACAGGGAACTGCTGGAGAGGGTCCAGCAAAGGGCTACGGAGACGATGAGGGGACTGGAGCATCTCTCTGCTGAGGAAAGGCTGAGGGACGTGGGGCTGTTCAGTCTGGAGAAGAGAAGACTGAGGGGGGATCTCATCAGCGCTGATCAATCCTTCAAGGGAGGGTGCCAGGGGATGGGAACAGTCTGTTTCCAGTGGTGCCCAGTGACAGGACAAGAGGGAACGGGCACAAACTTGACCATAGGAGGTTCCATCTCCACCTGAGGAGGGCCTTCCCGTCCTGTGCCACTGCTGGAGGTGCCCCTGCTCTGGTGGGGGGTGGCACTGGGGGGGCTCCAGAGGGCCCCTCCAACCCCCACCGGTCTGGGATGCTGTGATCGCCCGGCCGAGAGCAGCTGGTGCTGGAGGTGGGGGTCAGGTAATCTCATCGCCTCGGTGCTCCTATGCCAAACGGTGAAAATGGGGGCTATCACTCCAAATTAACTCCCAGTGACACGGCTGGTCTGGGAGCACCCCCAACACCAGCTCCCACCAGTGCTGGCAGCAGCATCCGGGGGATGTGGGTCCAGAGCAGCGCAGGGCATAGGTGAGGTTAGAGAGATGAGCCGGGGCGAGGAACGCGGCTTCGCCCCCGTGAGCAGGAGGCACCGACTGCTGCCGCTTAACGCAGCCCCCGCGGTCGGCGTCGCTATTAAACACACCGCCACGGGCAGAGCCATGGGGGGCGGCGAGCGCTGGAGGTGGAAAGGTATAACCGCAAAAATAAAAAAAAAAAAGCATCCTCACCTTGCCCTGGTACCCGTGTGTGGCACGAGCCGGGACACTGGAGCTTCGGTGGGGGAAAGCCGACGTGGCCAGAGCAGAGCAGCTCAGCTGCTCCATCCCTTACCGATGCGCACAAGCCCCCCACGAACCTCCTCCTAAAGTTTCCCCGGGAGGTTTTCTAAGGACTGCCGTTAAATAAGCAGAAAAACACCCGTCAATCAGCAGCAGGAAACACCACCTACGGAGGCAACTCTGCTCAGCGCTCTGAATTGCGGCGTTCCAGCCCAGGCGTGCGCAGTAGGTGGGGAAGCCCTGGAATAACTCGGTCCCCGCGTGGTGGGTGGCAGCAGCAAGGAGGGGGTCCTGCCGCCGCAGCCTCCCGCGGGAAAACACCCGTGGGGAAAGGAGGGAAGGAGAGAGGGGGGGCTCAGCACAGGTGGCACCGAGGCAGCGGCACAGGGGAGGGTGCAAACGCCGGTGCTTACCGTCGGAGTCCTGCTCGGCCGGGGGCCCGGCGTCCGCCTGGCCTTGGGGGGCACAAACAGAGCAAGAAGCGGTGAAGCTACAGCCCGCCTGCCCCGCCGACGCCAACCCGGGCTGTGCTGCCACTCGTTCCCCAGGTTTCCTTTTTTTATTCTGATTTCTTTTTTTTTTCCCCCCCCCCTCTAGGCTTCTGCATCATCACGTTCATACCCAGACACTGCCCGAATCCCTGGCCGGGCGCCCCAAATGCCCACCCAGGGCTGCTTGGCTTGAGGGCATCCCTGCAAACCCAACCATCCCAACTTGGAGAGCCCGGAGGAAGGCAACGGGGTAATTTCTGCACCTATTAGAAAACGGGGAGCATCTACGCGACCGCTCCGGGTGCTTTTTACTGGGATTCACCCTTGTAAACGATGGGGAGGAGCCCCAGGTCCCCTGCC